GCTTGCTTCTCTTATCGGTAGTTTCTCGTGGTTTCTCCGTTCAACACCAAGTGAATGCCGAAGCAGTACTATGTGACAAGCGGGGCACGGACCCATGCATTTCTTGTTTTTACTTGTCTTGTCTTCACCCGTTTCTTACACAGACACATACACACTTACAATCACTACACTACCATACATTGCAAGATGTCGGCCGGAAACGTATAACTTGGCCCGGCTGGTGCGTTGCCCCGATGGTGGGAGATATCTGGTTGGGGGAAACCCCCTGCTGACCGAAGGCGGGCCGGCGCTGGATCTCTCCATCCGGTGGGGGAAGATCCACCTCACGAGAAACAAACACGCACTACATTTACGGGACTGATGGCCTCCGTAGTTGACGCGCCCGGAATCAGCAGTACTCAACCGACCGTGCAGTGCGTGTGGGGTCGCGAGAGCGCGTACCGTGTTCTCGCAGCAGGAGGATGACGTCCTGCGGGAAGGAGGTGGAGGCGATGGCGGCGAACATAACGGCGAGCTCCCAGGACCAGCCGCCGAAGAACAAGCCCTTGGCCATGAGCGCGGTGAGCAGCACCGCCGCCAGGAACCCCACCACGGAGATCACCAGCACCTGCGCTCGCCGGCAGAGGGCATCAGCTCACTTCCTTTCATAAATATGTAATTTTGACCAACATCTGCTCTATTTCGCTCTTCTTTCCCTTTGCGATTCAAGTGAACAGATTCGTTCACAAAATGCAGAGGATATTATCTGAGCGTCTCTTTTTTAAAGTTTTAATCACTAGACAGACAGATGCATGCGTTCAGAAAAATGATATTGATTTTATCTATTCTAAATTAAACAATTACCGATACAACGTAGCAGATGGCTGTCAGGCTATATATTAAATGGCAACAAATGTTAAAAAAGTTAGTAAAAGATGGACATTTAAAATACAAAGGAGGACGAGAGGACAGTTGACGTCAATGACGCCTATCTGTTATCTCCCAGCATGTCGATCATTGAAAGCAGTCCCTTCCTAGAGTAACCCCTCTGAGTACAACCGTGGGCTGAGGAGGGGGGGGGTAGGCGCACCACGCGGAGGGCGCGCCGGAAGGCGTGCGCGTCCACGCAGAAGGCGGTGCGGAAGACGAGCGCCGGCAGGAAGAGCATCGTGAGGAACTTGGGCGACATGTCGCACAGGCCGCGCGTGTAGGCGTGCACGGCGTCGTGCGCGGACGCGGCCCAGCCCAGCAGCGCGCCCGCCGCCAGCAGCACGGCGCAGTAGGGCAGGCGCACGCGCGCGCGCACCCACAGCAGGCGCACGGGCACGGCCAGCGCGCACGCGCCGCACATGAACGCCACGGCGAACGGCGGCTCCGCTGCGCACCGCACCAACTTGCTCTTAGTGCTCTTGCGGCCTGGTCACGGACTAGTGCTCCTATTATATCTTCCAACACGCTGTGTAGTCAGAATCAATGTTCGGTGGATACTTGATACCGAAAAATCGATTGGCGGCAACGCTAACGCATAAACCGTTCAGCCGATTTTCGCCAAAATTAAAATTCCTCTATCAATTTAAAGGAAGTCAAAGCTCTTTGAGTTTGAGACGGAGATATTGATTTTCCGGGGTACTTTACATGAAGCCTCAATTTGTATTAAACATTGTCTTCACATAATGTATAGGACGCTTGGCACGAAGAGAATGGTGCAGTCTCATTTTCGTGGAAATTCCCATCATTTTTGGAACATTTTTGAAACTCAAAAGTTTAATTTTTTCGACGTCTTCTCTCAACTACACTAAAAAATTAAGATTTTTTTACTTTCGCCTACGTACGTAGATACGATGTAATATATATAATACAAAGGAAGTTAGATAATGCTGAGGAAAATAAAAGACGCCGAAAATATTTAAACTTTTGCATTTTTCGACAATTTATATATTTTGCGACCAAAAATGCGATCAACAGCACTTTTCTTACAGTTCTTTCCTACATATGAAGAAAAATTTAAAAAAATATAATTCAAACCATTTTTTAGGAAAAAATTAAAATGTTTACAAAATTGCCTGTTTCACACACAAATACGTAAAACGACTCATATTTTCAACAAATTGAGCATAACGTTATTTGAAGATCTGCTTTTCATCAATAGATTTCATTAAGACAAAAATATTCATTACTGAAGTTGTAGGAAGAAGTCGAGAAAATTAATGTTTTCAATTTTCGAAAAATTAGAAATTTCAACGAAAATGATACCCTTACATTTGTTTACTGTATGACCTAAAATAAATATTAAATCTGTTCGTAAAATCTGATTTATTTATTTAAGGTCAATATTCCATTGGGGAAAAGAGCGATCTGTCCACTTTGCAAAAGAAAACAATATTCCTATTATTGTTTTATTTATCATGTTACTGTTTACCACTGTGAGTAATCGATTTAACAATTTGATTCAATAATTCAGGAGGATCAACAATGGTATTCTACTCCTCAAAAGTTCTAATAATTAGATTCTAGTAGCAACCTAAAGAAAATTGATCTAACCTTCTGGCATGACTCCCACACTGTAGGACTTTTGGTGTAAATGACTAACATTGCCCAGTTCTCGGTGCACATCGTATCTTTGGGAAAGCACCAAATTCACCACAACACAACAGAAAAGCACTAAAACAAGAACACTATGCATCACGTAATTCCCGAAGTGGAAAATCAAATCAGCGAAGTAAATATTCATGATCCACGAAAAGAAACATCAGAAATGAGTCTCCTACGCCTCCTAGACATGAAAATCCAATGAAAAAGCACCTTGATCATGTTCATTATCAGGGCCCCATGCTATACGAGTCACCGCAACGTATTTCAAACTACTCTTGACAGTGAACCTGCCACAATTGCGCGCGTCGCCATTTTGGTAAAACGTTGCCGCACGATAAAGTTGAAGTAGCAGTGCAAGCAAAATGCACTTCTAGTTACCGTTTGTTAAAAAAATTGTTTGAAGGTAGTATTCGGATAATTTTTTTCAGAATAATATTTCTGAAGCGAGTGCCACTAGTCTCAGTCAGTACATTCTACTCTCTCTATCTCTTATGGCGTGTATATAGGATTATATTGTGATTTCATCGCATTCTTTTAATCCTGTGTATGGAAATGTGTTCAAATGTTCATTTTCAGATTGCTCAATATATTTTATTAACAGCGGCTCCTAATTTTCAATGAAAAATGTGTTTAGAGTCCGACTTAACTCTTCAACAAGATTCTTAAAGTCATATTTCCATTAGCTATGAAATGACCGAGAGATTGAGGAAATGTGAAAAAAAATGTTTATTGATAAAACTGTTTCCTCAATATAAATATTTCCAATGTGTTAACAGATACGAACTGTAAATATTAAGTCACTCAATACTTTTTGTAGTTAGTTAATTGTGAGAAAATTCGTTCATTACTGAATGCGATGTTGATTGATTTTTAGCAAAAGTAAAAATTTATTTGCATTGTTGCTAAGGGATTGATTTGTAGCAAATGAAAACTAAAATTCGATCGTTTTGTGTCCTGTGTATGTCGGTAATTCGGAGTCTTAGGTCTTCTTCACACGGCACCACTCAGCAGCGTTTTCGACTGGTGTGTCTGCTGGCAAAGCATTAGTTTAAATGAAGGTATTCACCCAAGTGGCGAATTGGCTGCTGAGGAGCTCGGTGGCGTCGGGTGGCAAACCAGCAGCAGCACAGAAGCGCGTTCGCGCCACCGCTAGCAGATCACTGATGTAAATGGCAACTTATTGATTGATAGTGATTTTGGGTGGGTCAACTGATAAGGCTATTTGTTCCGTACGTGTAGTGTATGTTTTTCTCTTGGGATGCGTCGAATGTTAAATGGCGAGATCCGGCGCCGACCTGTCGTTGGATATCAGGGTTTTCCCCAACCAGGTATCTCTCACCAGTGGGGCACCACCCCAGCCGGGACAAGCTCTAAGCTTCCGACCGGGGTCCCAGCATATGTGGTAGTGTAGTACATGTAAGTATGTGCATTCACATTAGACGAGCCACTGCACCGGTCTATAGACCCACCACTGAAAGGCTTTTGCCTGCTTCCTACTTACTGGCCGCCTGAGCCCCCAGCGGCGTGACTCACGAAACCTTCCTCTGTCGCGATCAGAGGGATTCGGAGGTGGCTGTGTCTGAAGGGCTCTGTCTCGGTGGCGCCACCGAGTGGCTCCGTGTGAAGGCACCCTAACGTGCATTGCATCTGTACTCTAATTATTCAATAATCTCTTGGCTTAACAAGCAATTGTGTGTGAGATATGTTAACAATTTGTGTATAATTAAACAATACACCCAGAACAATAGTACAGACAACGAGATGCAGTAAAATAATACGAATATATGAAGGAGCAAGGCCGAGATACGTTTGTGCGATGTTTGGGGAAAGCGAAAGCGTTTTTAACTGGAAATGTCTGCCGTGGAGTGGTATGTAGCGCGAGGGCTCTTGGTATGTTTCTAGGCGCCGACAGATGGCAGAATGGCCGCTGGGCGAGGGTAGGGGTCAAACTACAAAGGCAATTCAGTCTCCAGAGAATAGGAAACTAAAAGAGGAATTCTGTGTCAGTCTGTTTCGCGATTGGTTTATTCGGAGTCCTCCAGTTTCCCCTACCTGTCATTCTCCATCATTCATATCATCACTCATCATCAAAATGATTTATCTCACATATGACTGAAATTCCTAAATACTGAAGATTGTAATGAGGAGTTACCTTAATTAAACATTCCGCTGTGTAGTTTGTTATAGATGATTGTACAATGCAATAACTTAAACATATTTTTTCGCATAAAACCCTCTTTTTGGGAGTCAACGGATGCTCATTCGGGGCACCTGTGCTAGTGGAACCTCGTTGAGGTGCACTGGTCGCACCGGCTTAATTCTAAAAGCACTAGAAATACACAGTAAGAAGAGAAAGAATAATGTTGGAAAACAATGTGTAAGATTTTTTCTAAAGATTGTATTTTATGTTTAACAAATTAACAAAATATGTAGAAAAATCTATACATAGCTTTCACAACATTTCTATAATTGTTCAATGAACACTGGATTAGGTAATAATAAAGTTAAGTGAAATGCATTATACATATATTTACAGCTATATTTATTATAGGTTTTATGATAATTTTTACATCTATGTAAAGGTGAAAATAAATTATTGATAACACAAACAAAATAACCTTGCGACAGCATCTCCTAGTGTCTTTGCCAAGCGTATTTCTTAAGGAGACAAAAAAGCAATATTCAAGCAATCAGCATTGACCGTCAGGATATTCATCAGCTGAGATCGTGAAAAATATCAAAAACCATTGAAAGTTATTGAGGAAATGCTTCGTTGTAAGAAACGCGATCGAAAAAGTTCTGGATCTGTGATGTCATGAACTGCCTGATGGCTTCAAACGTACTCCATTTGGTTTCTTCGAATACGTCCTTCCAATTGGAGTTAAGGAAATCGTTGGTGGCTTTCCCTGAAAAGAAAAAAAAATATTATAAGTTTCAAGAGTTATTTTATTTTTATTATTATATTGTTATTTTAAACTATGTTAAGCACGAACAGTGATTTATTTTGTCTTATTAAATATACAATAAGCATTTTGTGTTCTTTTTCTACCTCATTTCTGAAAACATACTATTGTCAAAATATTCAAAATGTAAAGTGTGATTTGGAATGTTTATGAACTGACAGTTTTTTTTTGTTTTCTGGACGAACTCAACATGCACTCTATGATAATATTACTTACCAAGCGTTTGATCCCCATTGAAGAGATTAGTGAAATTATATGAGACTTTCGACACATCTGAACTGTACTTCGTGTTTTTGAGTTTGACATAGTCCAAACCATCTTGTTTGTTCTTCACGACATCAAAATCTGCGGAAAATTTTGCCTTGTAGCCATCTGAAATTGAAAATAAAATTATTACAAGAAACACTTTTATCAATAATTGTTACACATATTCAACACCGCTCACATAGACAAATAAAAATCGCCTTTTTCTGATTAGAAATGAGACGCAGGTTTTACCAAGCTGGAAATCTCTCTAATACAGCAGCTGAACTCGACCCAGCTATCTAACCAGTGCCGAAAATCCTACCATAGGCGGGGGTGGAACCCTATGATCTCCCAGTCATAGGCACTCAGGGCGACAATTCATGTTCTGAGCCACCTAAACCGGTGAACTGTAACTTGCGATCTGCGGATGTAGAAGGATTAAATACGCTTGGTCGCGATGCGACACCCGCTAGGCTACAATGTCGTAGACTAGGGGCAAGACACAGGAGCTGAACTGTAAAAGCACTGTCGGGTTCTACTAAATCCACCATCGGTTGTTCAAATAAATCAAAAATACAGATTGCGAAGAACATATATCATAGTATAAAATTGATGAATGTATGAATGAGGAGGGGATACAATAAAAATACGACTGACAGACTTACGAGAACAACCTTGACGAGCTCTCTTCTCCCGCGGCAGAGGAATTTTCCGGTACGCACTTGCACCTGCCATTTCTGTGAATACAGTGGACCTCATCTTCTGTACACACGCTGACGAATTCTGAGAATGCAGTGTGTCAAAACGACTGTAACAAACATCCGAGGAACTAAATTCGATTCCTTCTTGGAACGTGACAATAATATTAAATAGTTCAAACTTTCACCTGATGGTTCCTCCAATGTGCCCATAATGCTTTGCGGTCCATGGAGACTCCTGTTTGAGAACCTATTACTGATAAAGAATATTTCTACTATTCACTGTAATGAATTATTAATTTGGGAGCTTGGTTTTGTTCCCAGAATGTTGACTGGTTACCTCTATGACTTAAGAAAAAAGGACCATGCTATTCCATGCAATTCTTTACTAATCTTTGAATTTGATATAAATTTCTTGACTAGCAAAAGGGGTATTTCGTTCGTAATTTCTCATACGTATAGGCAAATAAACTGAATCAATTTAAAAACCTTTCGCATTTTGCCTGTAAATGGTCAGCATTAATTAAAAATGTAGGACTGCAAAACACTTTGTACCCCCTTCCTCCGCAAAGGAGGTAAAGCCGGTTGAACTTGTCGCAGCTTGATCAATTGTTTTTTTGGAGTGCGTCATTTACTATGGTCATTAGTCCCATAAGCGCATAGCATGTAATATCCTGAGACAAGTCGAGAGCTTAAAGCTTGTCCCAGCTGGGGCGCTGTTCCGCTGGAAAGATACCTGGATGGGGAGACACCGCAAGCCGCCGTATCCCGACACTGGATCACTCATTCGAACGGGGGAAGGACATCGCGTCATCGAGGTCTACATTCACTACATTTACGGTATTATTGACCTTAGTAATTTTCGCGCCCGGAAACACTGACTCGGTCACTCGTGTTGGGTGAAAATGAGTGTTCAAATATCCCCTCACGTGATTGAACTGAGTACAAACGGTTCTGGAGCAACAACAACTTATTTTCCAAGTGTTCTTACCGATGCGAAGTAGGGCTTCTCCGTCTCCCTTCACCGGAAGAATGAGGATCCGGCCATCCGTCTCGTATTTGGAGATCATGTTCAGCACAGGCGCGGAGTACGCGAAGTCCAGGTGCTTCCGGTCAAGGTCCATGCTGCAAAGCAAGCGCAACGAACACGTTTTATTAGCATTAAAATCTCATCCTAGACGCGCCGCTAAAATATATTTTTGGACCTGACTTCTGTGGGCACAAATAACTGTTTATCTACTGTTTTGATTCGGGAGTGCAGGCATACTGAACTGAAGAGCCAAAAAAACGGGTACACCTGCCTAATATCGTGTAGCGCCCACTCGAGCACGCAAAAGTGACGGAATATGACATGGCATGAACTCGACTAATGTCTGAAGTAATGTTGGAGGTAATGGACACCATGAATCCTGCAGGGTTGTCCATAAACTTGTAGGAGTATGAGGGGGTGGTGATCTCTTCTGAACAGCACGTTGCAAGGCATCCAAGATATGCTCAATAATGTTTATATGGGGATTTTGGTGAACGTTGAAAGTGCTTAAATTCAGAACGGTGTTCCTGTAGCAATTCTGGACATATTGGCAGTCGCATTGTCCTGGAGGAATTACTCAAGTCCGTCGAGAACCACAATGGACATGAATGGGTGCAGGTGATCAGACAGGATGCTTCCGTACGTCTCACCTGTAAGGAGTCGTATTAACCTATAACGGGTGCTATATCACTTCAACTGCACACGCTCCATTCTATCGCAGTGCCTCCACCAGCTTGAATATTCTCCTGTGCACATGCAGGGTCCTTGAATTAATGAGGTCGCCATACGCTTACCCGTCCACCTGCTGGAAACAATGTGATACGAGACTTGTCAGGCCAGGCGCCGCAAAGGCGAGGCGTAAAGATTTGTGTCCTGGGTACACGAATAGGCCTTCGGATCTGAAACGACATATCGATAATGTCTTGTTGAATGGTTCGCACGCTGACAATTGTTGATGGAATATAGCATTAAAATCTGCAGCAATTTGCGGAACGGTTGCACTTCTGTCTCGTGTAATGATTAGCCTGAGTCGTCGTCAGTCCCGTTCTTGCACGATCTTTTTGCGATCTGTAGCGCGGTCAATAACACAACGTTCAAACTCACTTAGATCGTGATGACCTGCCACTGTAGCAGCAGTAACAGATCTGACAACTATGCCAGACTCTGGTTGTCTTATATAGCTGTTGACGAGCGCAGCGCCGTATTCTTTTTGATTCTAGATTTGTTTATTTCAATGCGCATAGCTGTACCAGTTTTTTGGCTCTTCAGTGTATTACTACCACAGTCGAACTAACTCAGACCTTACTGACTGAACATAAAAAATGAAAATTATATTAATTTTAATTATCATATAAATACATTAGCTATAATGTTTATTATATAAAAAGTCGTGAACAAATTGTGCAAGTGACATTGCTGAAATATAGAATAAAAATTAACTGAATTTTAATGAGGAATTAAAAAGTTAAGACACATAATATTTTAACATAAACTCGTAACGTGTAATTAATTAGTGTGAAAATGTTTAACAAGTAAAATTACATTTGAGACAGTAATATTAATACAATTAAAATAACATTGACATTTTTAAAACGAGTAAAGAGAAAAAATGTCAATGGCAAAAATTTTGTCTGTTATAAATATATTTGTAATTATTCTTTAAATTCGGTAAGGATCTGCTGAACTGCTAAAAAGTCTTATTACAAGCAACCTCTTTTCAGTTGCTTTTGAGATTATTCATTATCGATGTAAAACACCACTGCATGAGTCAGATTCAGTGTTATGTTTTAGTCTTGTATACGCTCTTTGACCTCCCCTACCACCCATATCTACATGTCCCATTTGTAGCTATATTTACTATTGCTTTATATTTAAGCGAGGAATGAAATTCATGATGTACATGAAGAATGACAGGCAACAGCTCTTGAAGATTCTGTCACATTGATTCCTTTATTTTAAGCGCTTCTTTGTACACACGGTACACAAATTTAATAACTGACTTTCCTTTCAATTTATTTCGACAAATATTGAAAATAAGTTTTCCTGCATTTCTAATGGCGTATGTTTTTGAATGCGCATCTCTCTAATTGCTGACTACTTAAGCTGATGCCAAGACTCATCTCTGCACGTTGGAGGTCTTTCTCAAGACGTGAATCCATTGCATGAGTTGCAATAAAATAATCGTTTTTAATTTTTATTACTCTATTGTTCTACGTTGGCATTCTCTGATGCCCCGAGAAGACACGCCAGTTTTACTTCCTCCATTACTTGTCCTTGTCAGGGTTGCCAGAAGTGTTTCGAGCTTTTTCCCCACCAATACTACGGAATTTCCTTAAATAACCTCTCCAACGAAACAAAATTCCCCAACTTGTAAACTAAAGATATTCTTCAAATTATGGACCAACGACATGAGCTGTCAACAGATGATTTCATCGGCTGTTCCTTTGAATTCAAATAATTCAAATAAACCAAAATAATTCAAACCAGTCCTTTGAGCTGCTCGAAACCCTATCTTCGTTTTTCTCATGTTTTTCTGTCTCTGTGACTGTTGTTTTCTCTTTTTGATGTATAACAATCAGAGAGAATAACGTCTGTTGTTTCTTTTTTATTCATAATAATTGAGAGAATAATATTTCTATATCAGCTTCGAATGAAAATAGTCTCCCCAAACATTACCCCGTTTAAATTTATGTTCCCCAATCTTTCCCCATATCGAAACAAATCTATTATCCGGCAACCCTAGCACCCCTAGAACTAGTAAACATTGTATTCGAAATATCAAGTTTTCAAAAGGAAGTCATTATATATATATATATTTCCCCTCAAATTCGATTAATTTTGTTGGCTTATTAGATGAAACATCTGTTTTGCAATGATGTGCTAGTGATTTTAATGTCATACAAGAAACAATGAATGCATTCTGTAGTCCCCCGAACACTCAAAATATCTTTAAAAATATCACTTCGTTGTTATTCACTGATATTGAGCTGAAATCTGCACTGATGATTAAACAGTTTTAAAATTTTTCTCTCTTTCAATTTAACTTGTAACCAATGTACGTAAACGTTTTGCTATATAAGTACCGTAAGTATCGTGTAGTTCCATTGTTGTGTTCATTGATGTCCCAGCAAGTCTTATTTTTTTAAACTTACAACTAAACGGCAGTACAGACTCATTTTTTAAAAATAGCAGGTATTAGTACTACTAGTATTATTAGTGTAAGAGTAAATTATTTATATGTATCTTATCTTAGATTTGTTTACTTACTCAACGGAGTCCACTTTGTAAGCTTGTGGCGGGTCAGTGGCGATCTTCAGATTGATGAACTTCAAGTTGAAGCCATTGCTATCGGTTTCTATAAGGGGGAAGTGAATCGGGTCTGTAGGAGAAAATCCAAATTTTCGGTCACCTGCGAAAATTGATTGGATTTTTAAGAATTGTCTTCACAAAATAGTACCCTTAGTTTAAGAACATTTTTTTAAAAAGGGTTTCCTCGATGAAGATACTACTCTTCAAATAAATTTTGTTGTTATCGTTACGGGTTAGATGTGCAGGCGAAGGTTACAGTGCATTACTGAAATATTACAAATCAGATAAGTAAGCAAACATTTCAAATGAAAATTCGCGTCATTTGCTCCTTGTTAGGCTCGTACGCACGTGGTGTTGGACTACCCAGACAAGAACGGGACTTACCAAACGCCTGTGCATATGAAGTTGCCTAATGGACAGGGGAAATTGTTACATGTTTTTTATTTCAAAAATGTATTTAAGATTTTTAACTGTTTGAGGAAACATTTGTGAAACCAGGAGAAAGAAGTACTGACACATTTTCAACTCATTAATGTGTGAAATATTCTTTATATCCTTTGTTACGCCACAAATTTATCTGTGTAAAGCTCCACCACTGTTTGAAACAGGAGAGAATCAATTGCGATTTGCCTAATACAAGCTGATGGTGCTACGTACTTTCTGGCAATATTTGTAAGAGCTACGTGCTACTTAACAAAAAAATGTGAATTATTTGAGAAATTAAAAGAGCACATTAAAATAAAATGAATTTAAAGTTACTCTGTGCATTTAAATCTATTCATTACAAACATTCAAAGAATAAAATGCTTCCGTTTTTGAGAAAATCTTGCTTTTAAGTAGTCTTTTTTTAAAATTTAAATTCGGTTTTTAACTGCCCGGTCTAAGCGACCACTGTCACGACTAACATTGTGTAAGTGGAACACACGATGCAACACGAACACACACAAATCTCCATGTCCGGGGCGAGATTCGAACCCGTGACCCTTCGAGCCGAGGTAGCCACGGCCATTCACCCTTACCGACCTCGCCTATCCAGGCCAGCCATGTGCAACTTTATAATATAAAATTTCCCACTTCACGTTAACTGGCAAAAAGTGATAACTGTCGCCCCCTCAGGATGCCCTAAATCAGGGGTATGCAACATGCAAGGCCAAAACTAACATCTTTAATACGATTGCGGGACACATTTTCATTACTCGGGCGAACCACACCTGACTTGCTCGTACTGTTGATCTCGGCACTTGGCCAACTGCTCTGAAATGGTGGGGAGGGGATGGATGGAACCATGAGTGATATCAGGCCGTACAATACATAAAGCAGTGAAACACGTTGAGAGGATTTGGAATTTCTGAATTTACTAGAAAAAAATCCTTAAATCTACACAACTTACTTTTCCATAAAGGGGGTGTTGACCCCGACACTAGGCGTGCGCTAGGAGCACAATGACATGGGTGCAAGGGACTTTCGCTTTTAACTAATAACCCCCTCACGGGCCACAGGAAATGACACCGCGGGTCGCCAATGGGACAACACTGCCGTAGATGTTGGTAACGTGTATTCTGAGCCTCCTGTATACAACATGCAGGTTGCGCTCTTTGCGGGCGTTCACTCACCTTGAGAGCCGAGATGGTCGATGGCTTTCTGCGCCTGGCGAAGCACGCACTCGTTGAACTGCACGCGCTCCCGCGTCGGGCACTTGGACAAGTACGGCGCTGGAACAGAACAGGTCGCGCGTTCAAAGTTTAAATTTAGTTGTTGTTTTTTTCACCTAGAAAAACTATATGGGAATTTTTTTGTTATTTAGGATCACATCAACTTTTAGGACATTAGCGTCCACTTCTGCATGTAACGGTATGGTAACTATGAGGATGATAATAGAGGGCGAAAGGACAAACACAATACAACCTTGCCCGAGGCGGGACTCGAATCATTCGGTCCAAGATTGCTACGGCACTACTGCCTTAGCGATCTCGGCCATCCGAAACGTCGTGGGACTTGTGATATTTTACTTTCTCGTATGCAACTTACGAAGTACAGAGAGAGTATTGCAGTGCTGAGACAAACAAGTGGTGCTACAGATCGCACAGGAATTTTCTTACGACCACTTTGTTTCTACTCTCGTTACTGAGGGCTAGCTTTCTGATTTTGCACAACCTTCAACCCAGCTACAATTTATTGCCGCCTCAAGGACTTTTTTTCACGTTTTCTCGATTTTTCGGAACCGTAATGATAAAATTGAAATATGACATTTAGAATATTATAGAAGAGTAAACCCTCATCTAATACGTAATTTTTCGTTGAAAAATTTGGACGTTTTGGAGTTAACTTCGTTTGAGCGTTTCTGGAAATGCACAATTTTGAATTTTTTTTTCAATTTTTATAGAAAGATTTGAAGTTTTTCAAGAATTTCAGAGGAAATAATTTAAACAATTCTACTCACAAATGCAATTATGAATAAGAATCGTCCGTTATGTAAAGCGAAAGAAAATATCGGCGAAACGTCAATAGAAAAGTATTTTGGGATACAATGCAATGTAAATTGAGCGTTGGGCTGACACAAGGCTGTTTTATGCTAATCTCGTAAGCTTAAGCGTGCAGCCTCGTCACCAACTTGGACACGCCTAGGAAAGCGTTAACTGCGCTCAAATATCTTATTACCTATTCTAATATAACCTCATTAAATCAAATAGCCCCCTACAATCAGCAACACTCAACGATTTCTCGTCCCGAATTCAAAATAGATATCTGCTACAGGTCTTCCTCCGTATATTTTCCGATGTAAACTAAGCGTATGTACTCAATGAGTGTCATAAAACAATGCTGTAGTTAGAATAGAATTAGTTTTAGATAATTGTGGTTAATTATGTCATTCCAAATTCATGTGAAAAAGTAAATGTTACTGAACCATGTACTCATCATTCGAACTATATAAATAATTTTAAAAAAGGAAAAAAAACCCACCAATCACACAAAAAAACTACGCTCTAAAATGTCAAGTCAGAAAACCCATGAATCCGCGCGCCTGTGTTCGCCTGTTTGTCGTCAGAGTTGCAATCGCTTCAGGTGGCTCCGACGCTCACGTCTAGCTCGCCGGTGTTGCTTCCCATAACCTTTCCCCACCACCCCGTCCTCCATAAAAGATAAATATTTCTTTGGCCGTCACATATTAGTTGCTATGCTTAATGTCTAGACAATGTGATTAATGTTGAAGAGAACCCCATTTACTTCTGGTCTCATATATACAATGAATAGAGTTGTTAATTTAGCTTCAACCAAATTCCGTAGATATTATACAACTGTAATGGCCAGATATTATTCATACTGTCTGGATTATTTGAGTTAATAGTGTGCAAATATTGAAAATATTTTATACTGTCTTTTGATATGTTCTGTACATTTCGTAAATCAATTTATTGGCCTGAAAACAATACATTAATTAAATGTATTTTTTTCAACAGAAATTATTTGTTACTTCTGTCAGAATTTTGAAAATGAAAATTATGAGTATCTGTCAAACGTTTATCATAATTGAATTGCTTTAATTTGTTGGTTTAGACTCAGGAATCTCATACAAACCACAGGGCGCTTTACAAGCTCTGCTTTCTATATTCATACCCCACCACTTTCACTCTCACACTTTCTCTGCTCCCTGCCGTCTTCCACGCCTGCGTTTCTTCCCAGCCATCGGCGGCCTCGTAACACGCCTCGTAATACGCAAGGGATTCAGAGAGGGTGTTCATCACCAGAGCACGAAAGGAAAACGCGTTAGGTATACTCTAGATTACGGAATATACTGCACCTTAGCACTAAATACAGAATAATATTAAATTAGCACTAAATACAGAAGTGTACACTTTACATTCAGCTTCCTGAATGTGAAGCCTCCAAAAGAAAAGGGTTCTTTCGTTATCAGTTATATTTGTGAGAATTAACAAAAATACAATAAGCCATAAACATTTTATTAATTTGCATCGACAATTTTCTCTTACAAGTCTGTTAATTTTCTTTTACAATAATTAATTTTAATATATTGAATTCAGAAAAAGGCTGAAACGAGATTTAATCCAATTTTGTAAGATTATGTTGAGGATGGTAAAAAGTGTATTCATGATTTAAGAAGTGCTGAATATTGAATAAAATGAAGACTTATTTGCGAAAAAATGATAAATATTACGCCGGTATAAATGAACCTTTCGGAAGTGGAGAACGAATACATCGTAGTCGTCGGTGAGACTCTAGCTGCCGCACAACAGTACTTCTTCTTTATTACAGCTTTAATAGTACTCTGTTGAATGCTGCTACCCTAAACTCTCGCTCGCCCACAATAGTATTACTTCTATATTAATACTTTCTCAGCACTCTTTTGGAAGTTGCCACTCCCCAAATCCTTGCTATCCCACTATAGTACTTTTAACAAATTAAATACTTTCTCAGCACTCTTTTGGAGGTTGCCACCCCCCAAATCCTTGCTATCCCACTATAGTACTTCACGCGCAATATTCTTCCATTCTTTAGAGAGATCCTCTTGAGCTCTTTTTTATTCGAAACTTGATACTTCTGCACGTTTTTCCAGTTCCCAACAAAAATTCTTAATAGGATTCCAACTTAATAGGATTAAACCAGCCACACTGCTTCGAAGTGAATGGAGCCCGTCAGGGGAACGATATTTGTGAAGAGTACTATAAATCGAAGATGCTCGATCATCCACAATATACTTTACTTCCACAATATACTTTGTACTATTTGTTGCTTTTATGACTAAATTAATTGAAAAAGAAATGACATGATATCTCAAAAACTATTCCAAGAAATCTGTTGATACATGCAAGTGTATTTGGAAAGTTGTTGCCTAGTGATGGTGACTTTATTATTTGCCAATAGTGATGTGGAGTTACACTTTTAATGAACTAAATTTAAGAAGATCAAGATGTTTTCTCTGGATTTAAGCCACAGACAGCAGGTGTCTCTCAAGGAAGTATCTTAGGACCAATTCTGTACGTAATCTATACTTCTGACTTATCAACAACAGAACGCTCAATGATGGCTACATTTGCTGATGACACAGCTATTTTAGCTGTCGACGAGGACTCAACCGAGCATCGCAACACCTGCAAGCGCTCTTGGACAAGATAGAAGATGAGAATCAATGGAGATAAATATAAACACAGAAAATTCACAAAAGATACCTTCTCACTTCGAAAAGAACGTGTCCAAGTGAAATTTGCGGCGGCGCGGCGTGTGTGTAACGGTTAGCTACTGGACTGTTGCTACCCAAGTTACGGGTTCAAACCCGATCGAAGCCGTGTTTTTAAGGGCGAAAAAATCTTCGTACGCCTTCCTCGGAGGGAAGTAAAGCCGCTGGTCCATGTTCGTAGATTTACTTGCATGTAAAAGATTCCTCCAAGCCTAAATGACGCCCTCTACTAATATCAAATCGCCTGTGTCTCGCCAAAATACCTCCTTTCTCTGCTAGTTTTGATGAAGAGCGTAGCGAAATTTGCGTGTCAGACGAAAGACGGCCTGATGCCGGGTCTCGCCACGTAAAATAAGCAAATTCAATTCAATTCAATTCAAATTTAATTCGTCAGAACTCTCCCAGTACAACTGTTGTGAGGTATCTTTGTTTTACATCTAGACAGTCACTTAACCTGGAAACCTCACATCTGAAAAAGAGGAAAAGAATTCACAACTGAAATTAAGCAATTATCACTGGCACTTAACCAAAGGGCTAAGCTCTCCTTATACAACAAAATTTTAGTGTACAAGACAATAATCAAGCCCAACATGGACTTACGGCATCAACTCTGGGGGAACTCCAAGCAAAGTCAAACCTGGAGATCCTGAGAAAGATTCGAAACAAAAACACATGAGATATACTATTGCAACGCTCCGTGGTTCGTCACCAACAATAATTTGTTACAAAGCATTCTGAAACATCTAACAATGACAGAGGACTATCTCGGGAAGCAAGCAACAGAGGCATCAGAAAGGAGCTGGATCACCCGAATCAACACTCAGTGAAATGTTGGAACAATTAGTGAATGTACAGTTTAGTTACGCTAAGTAACATATTACTAGAACCTTACCTTTAGATTCTCTTCATAGTTAACTTCTATCTGTATACCATTTATAATTGTTTCCCAAGTGAAACAGATTGTAAATTAGCAGAATTGAAAAAAATTAAGAAGAGCTAATAGAAAAGTAAACATAACGGCAGAAATAAGGTGCGGTAAATTCAAAAATATCAAATTCCGTGTTGGTGGGAAAAACTTTTCCCAACCTCAGTGGGATTTGCCCAAGCAACGTGAATCACTCATAAATGTTCACATGGGCAAAAAATATGAAAACAGCAAAACATGCTGGTTAGAGCTAGTTGGCTGAAAAACGGCTTTATTGGTATGAAATTTTGCGCAAAAAGAGAATGTTAACTAAGAGGAATATGATGTTAAAGAAATGTAATAAAATGTAAAGGTAGTTAACCAGATTGTGTCTGAAAAGCCGGTTGTGGAATTAAAAGATGAAGACTTTGATAAAATGGAGATTGCATCCAAAGAAAAGTGGTGGGAATGACGGTTGAAAATACTTCAGGAAGAAACTATTCAATACTAGAGATAAAATTTTAATACTGAGGCAAGACATGAACAGTGATTGCAATGTACTTTGTATAATTGTAATTTTGGAACATACAACCATATATTGTAGTATATTAAAGTTACAAACATAACCTAGGGCTAGAAACAGGATTAAAAGGGGAGAGACTACGGCCAGGAAAACAAGAGGATGTTCTGCCTTTTCAAACTAGATTAAAAACTATGTGTTAAAAATGTAGAAAAATATCTTGAATTTCAATGACTTCATAAAAAATTACATAATAGATAACACGGGAATGTCCCGATTAAATTACTGAATTCGCATATACTGAAAATACTAACATAAAAATTCTATATTGTGTTCCTAATATTAACTATAAATTACATATTAACAACTACGGATCTTCGTCTGCAACAGTTGATCAGTACTCTTCTTCACTTCTTAAGACAGTAAAAATGCATCAATATTTTATTTTTTACTTGATTTATTCACAATCTTGTTTTTAATTTATTTCTTATAATTAATGTTTAAAAAAAATGGGTGGTTATTGTACTTGGCTCCCCTGCACATCTAAATCAGACCATGTGTGTGTCAGTATTTTTCTTGGGGATGGGATGGGGACGGACAGCGTGATAAATGAGCCCGAATAATTAAATTCTACACTTCTCTTTAAAATACCCTTTCGGAAAACATTTGCAAAACCAAGGTAAAGAAATACTGACGCATTTTCAACTCATTTACATGTGAAAAAGTTCTTTTTATCCCGCATATATTACGCCACAAAGTAGCCTGTGTGAAGCTCCAGGCAGGTTTCAACAAGAGAAATCCCTGTCATATAATTGTACATACAAACATAATAGTTACAATTATGGCAAGAATAAAAATGTTAAAGTTAAACCAACTTTCACAATATGTTAGTAAATCTTTAATCTAACTACAATTTTAATACATTACTCAGTTACAGAAGGCTGAACGATTGTGTGGTTGCTAAGAAATTTATAATTTTGGGGCACCCTTCTGTGAAACTGAGTAATGATTGAAGGGTTCCTTCAATTTTTGACGTTTTCTTATTTTACCAGTATCTATTCTCTTATCTTTATTATTCTCATCTGTTCTCTTTAGTTTTATCTAGCTTTTCGGTTTTGCCTCACCATAATCCCAGCTGCTATTGCCACCCAAAGGACATATTTTCACAGTTTCTCACTTTTGCTGTCTCCTAATGGTAGATTTGAAATATGATATTAAGAGTATTGTAATAGAATATAACCAAATAAATTGGAGCAATTTTTTAGAAATGTCTTTGGAGCGTATCTGAAAAAGCGCAAAGTTGAGCTTATTTTCACAGAAAACTTTTGAAAAGGTAATTTAATTTCATTGTAAATAATTTAAAGCACTTCCACTCAGCAATGCAATGTTGTATAAAAATGTATGTAAAGTAAATATTAACGATTTGAGGTATATTAAAAATTATTTTCCTAATTTTGAAACAAATGAAAATTATTCATACTGGGGCTAACGTTATGGGAATTTAGCATAATTAGTACACAAAACAAAAAGTGTAAAGAACAAAAATTGCAGTTGTTTTAGAGAAAAGTTCGTATGAGCGTTTCTGAAAATGAGAATTTTTGATCTAATTTTTACAGATAATTTTTAAGTTTTCGAGAAACATTATGAGACATCCTTAAAGCATGTGTACTCCCAAATGCAATACGGCATACAAATTTCGGTAGTCTAAATATTAACGACTTGAGATATCAAAAAATACATTTTTTTTTAATCAACAAAACACAGAAGAATACTGAAAAGAACTGAACTGAACACTGAAGCTACTTCGCTGATATGTCATCTTACACAGTGCATTTATCACTGTCCTCACAAAAAAAGACCAACGAAAGTCAAGTAAAATTATAATATTCAATTTTCAATCAAAGAGTTCATCCGTATGATTAATATTCCTATAAAAATGTTTCGTAGTGCATATTTCTTGAATTCCAGCAACATATATATTAGCAGGAAAAACATTCTCCAGTTCATGAAATTTCAGAACAATAATGTGTACTACAGTCCCAGGCATCTGTTTGCCAACTATTTCGAAAGTAATGCGAATCCTTTCGACGTGAACCACCGACCCTCAATTCGAATGCTCAGAAATGTGGCTTAAAAATGGTCACATGACTAAATTAACTATCAAGCCACTCACACTATACTATTTTTGTCGAGAAGAGCCACTGGCTTCAGGAGAAATAAAAATAATTATGAACTATTCTACCCGGCCATTATTTCAATGAATTCATATACAATTTAACCTAAAAAACTGCAACGTATGTGCGGATTCATTCCTATGCAAAAATCCCAGGTAACAAAAGAGATTAATGTGCATTAAAATCACCTATTCTCCCCAAGTCAAAAGATGCACCATTTTACAATGATGTGTTGAAAATATATAAACATAAAAAAGGAGAACTGAAATAAAGAAAGGAAGGATAGTTACAGGGAAAACGAACTAAAAATAAAACTAATACGAATGGGTGGCCTGCAGAAACATTTCCTTCTCTTGGTGTTATTAGTTACTCCTCAAGTACCTACTCACAGTTTAAAGATAGTGCATGGAATTATTGAAGGATCTAGGGATAAATTGCAGGCGGAAACTAGGTTCGAAAATAAATTTGATCTTTTGCAATTTTTAAAATTTTGCAGCTCATAAAAGCACGTTCTCCTATACGAGTAAAAACTGTAAAGGAAAAGTTGCAACATTTTTAAGAAAATTTTAAAGAAAATGTCACAGGACATTGATGTAAAGTTGCCCCAAAAATTTAAATAGCGCGATGAGTTCCGGATTAACACGGCTATATCTTACTCCAGACCTATTTACCAATCAGCTCGAAAACTTCTGATATGAAAGTTATCACGTTGACACGTACATCCATCCACACAAACATGATGCTTTTCGGGTGTAGAGGAGTTTCTGTAAGATGGGGAAAATTTAACAAGTGGGAAAAAAATGAACGTTATGCAGGGCGGTGTCATTGCAAGAGATAAATTCATTTACAAATGTGCTAAGTGTAAACGAACGCATTGACAAAATGGGTGCATGGACATAACCTGCAATTTTGTCGTCACCAGTGGCCTAGCAGTAGTTGTCAAAGCGTCCCCTTCTTGTAGTAATCTTCACATATAAAATTTCGTGTACCTCCACGCCACCTTCTCCAACATTAAACATCTGTGGAGCGGCAAGAAACCTTACATTCGAAAGAACTTTAAACATAGCTTTTACGTCCAAAACCTCTAGATCGCATTGATGAGGTGATCCCAACCATTTTCCTTCAAGTACTATAGCGTAAGGAGGAAACGCAAGAAACCCACTGCAGCCAGGGGGCTAACGCGAGCGTGCGCTTGCCAGTGGGCGAGGACTTACGCAGTTGCGCGGCGTGGACGGCCGTGCACGCGAGCAGCAGCGGCAGCAGCAGCGGCAGCGCGACCGCCCGGCGGCTTCCCATGGCGGCGAATGAAGGCGAGGGCGCGGGACCGGCTTACGTAACCTCCTCCGCAAGGAGAACGGGTCCGCCGCACTCCGTGCAGCGGCCGTGTCCTGCGCCGTCCCACGCGGGGCACAGTGGGCTTCACTATCAAAATTGTTGTTGCTGCTGTTGGTTTTATTATTATTATTATTATTATTATTATTATTATTATTATTATTATTATTATTATTATTATGATCATTATTATTAATGATTGTTAGGGATACCGTTTGCTACTGGGGTTTTCCTCAACAAGGTATCTCCCGCCAGCCGAGACAAACTCTATGCTCCGGACACGTCTCTCGGCAGTGTAGAGCATGTTAGTGTGTGTGTAAGATTTGAGGATAGGACAAGAAAGGTGAAAGAACCGTCGCGCGTGGTTTGTGGCCCGTTTATTAGGATACTGCTCCGGCATTCATCTGGTGTTGATTGGAGAAACCACGGAAAAATTATTACTATTATTATTATTATTATTATTATTATTATTATTATTATTATTATTTCCTTACCCTTCGTAAGAAGAGAAAGTATGGAAATCGTGCGCTGGAAATTGCGAATTTTCGAGATAACTACTCTTTTCACCGGGCCCTCGTTATTTAGCATGTATATTAATTTTGTTCCTATATAAATACTACATTACTTTCTCTAACAATTCAGAATCCCTGTTTTGTGTGTCCGTCCATGGTCAACTAGCCCTTAAAACATTCAGACGATTTTTTTTCAAATAGATATTCCTCAATCGATTTCATTGAACTCGAAGAACTTAATGTCCTAATGAATATTGACTTCGTTGTTGGAAGAAAAGGGTGCTTTTAACAACAGTGTGAAAAGTTTTCATGAATGGTTCTAGGAGACAAATTATGATGATTTCAGATTCACGATGTCACGTTTTGAATTTGCGATCGTCAATCTGTTTTTTAATTTAATTTTTTTGCAATTTCTGGTTGCAATAATTGTGATCTTATCTCCGGGAACCCCACTGTTTCATTGCAAGGACGCCTCTTCTCAGCTCCGTTAGGTGCTTCTCAGTCTAATGGGTCTCGTCAAGATAAGAAGATTGGCTGCGGCTAATGATTTTTCTGATTCCTTTGTTGTCTTCTACTAGAAGCAGATCCATCGACTGCCTAATGATTTCGTCTGAGCTTCAAGGTTGCTTTAACGTCATGGCTTAGGGTGTTTTGATGCTTCAAGTATCCTTTGATAGAGTTTGGAATCTGCTGGAATTACCATGTCCAATATCATACCTAACGTCGGTGATATCTGAGAGAGATATGTTGTGATCAAACAAATGGTCTGTTTGGGTCTTGAAATCCTACCCCACGATCGACTACCTTGACTGGGTTGTGCTCGCAGTTTCCTACAAGACATATTTTATTCCCAGAATCCAGTGTACCGCGACGAAAGATCTGATATGGCGTTGTTTGTAAACGTTCTTGCAATCTTGTTTCAGACACTGAGTGGATCGTTGTTTTATTTTGTGTTTTTAACAATTTACATCCACCATCCTCTATGGTCTTAATTATTATGTCATCCTGTTCTTGGGCTGCTAAAACTGGCCATTCCGAAACTTGCTTCAAGATGCCCACCGTGGGAGAAGCGCCCACTATTCTGTCGATGGCCTGCTTGTGCTGTTCATGGAGAGGCTAAATAAACTATCTTTTTCGGTGGACTTTCTGTTTGCTCTCTCTTTTGATGAAGCTGGCGAATGCCAAATTCAGGATATTATCCTCATGTTCTTCAGCGAGTCACTACGTGGAATTTTCTAAGTACTCTACAGATGCCTGTTTTTCTGTTTGAAAAGACATTTTATTTTCTGAAGTCCAGAACCTCTGTATCTCTGGGAGATATTTTGAAGACGTCATTGCGTGGACTGCGAGCGTGATGAGCTGTCTTTAGATTTCTCGTTTGGTGATCCGACCGACGGACAACGAACTCTGCTTGCGAGAGCTTGCCAACCTGATTACCGGTTCTGATCGGACGTTGCCAGCTTGGCACGTTGACACTTTGGAACGTTGAGATTGACACCTGGATGTTTCCATCCTTTGAAGTTGGTTTAGAGGAGTTTAGGTTCATGTGGTTTGCATTCTAATGAATCTGAGGTGTTAACTTGGTGGTACATATCGGCGGCTGGTTAGCCTCCTCCACTAACTTGCTTTCTATTTGCGTCGTATGAGATTTCGATATTCGATATACGACAATTTCTACTTTGGCAGATTCTGAGAGTGACAAACTTGTCTAGCCAAACAGTATTCCAATGTCACTACAAAACCTTCGTACTGTGTCTATCAGTGTCTTTAATTCAGTTTCATACTTTCCGCATAACTTGAAGCCATTAATGTTGATGAAGAGGATGAATCTAGGACATCTTGTATTTTTGACACAGAGCCGTAATTTAGAGGATCAGAGAGTGGGAGTGTAAGGGTGTGTGTGTGTGTGTGTGTGATGTATTGTGTGTGTGTGTATGTGGTGTGTGTGTTGTGTATGTTGTGTGGTGTGGTATGAGAGACGAGGAGAGAGCGTAAGAGAGAGTGAGGGAGAGAGTGTGTCCCTCTCTGTATACAACAATATATGCATATCAACACGGTTACATGGGGTATACCTTTAATAAAAAGAGCGTGTTTACGAGAGATATTCATGCTGTGAGAGGCTTCATGAATTTTGACCAGCACCTAAGCTCTTCACTATACTACTGAGTAGCGGAATTGTTATTATTTTAGTGACAATATGCAAGATTGAGAACCGTTTTCTTCTGTCATGTAGAACTGTCGTGGAAATGTAATTAATTCAGCCTTTGTTCCTCTATATGTTCCACAATGGCCACTTTTCCCTTTGGTAGTAATTCGGCAATCAGAAGGTGATTTTATATTTCAGAGGTTATTAAGAATGTTAAGAGGTTAGTTGTCGTTGGTAGGCACTTTATAAGCTGTCCGTTTCCGTGCTCAGTCATATTCTTCCAGTCTTTGATGATAGCATAGTCCGTCCAGTAGTAATCCACGAGTACGGGTACGGTATTACAAAAGTTGGATGTTTTTCATCCTAGTCTGTAGTTATATTACATAAAGATACGTACGTGCCATTACGCAAAAGAAAAGTGTGACCACATCATTACCCACCAGCAGTTACAATCGCCGCATTGCAGCAACAGATCTGCTGGTGCGAACAATAAAAACTTATTAACAAACACTCAGGATGATAGGATATGAACATTAAATTTTTTTATATCTTTTCATGGGAGATATTTTCGTGAATACACTTACCTCTCCGCGAATACACAGAGATCACAGTTGGTCATCTCCAGTTGGACATTTTCGATCTGGCTTTTCGAATATATTTTTCTATTCATCTTAGACATTCCGTTTACAATTACTTGTCCAGCAATAAACAGAGATCAATGAGCGGCTTCCTACTGGTGAACACTTTAGAGACTAGTTGAACCCGTGAGAATAATCCGCTCCTTGGAAATTTTTTGTCTTAAAAGCGAAAATAACTTCATGATAGAATCCATCTTCCAATGTACAACATCTAAGCTGTGCGTTGTATGATTATACAGCTTCTGCTTTACGCGTGGGTAAATATTTTAAAATTGTTAAGAATATATTTACAAACAGGAGGTAAACTATGCGATTCTTGTTTTTACATTAGTACTTCAACTCTTTGTGTGTCTTGACTTTCAGGACTACATAGTTCCATTTTTTCCTGGCCATTACAGTCACTCTCTATTTTCTTGCTTTAAACTTCAGGAGATCATGGCGCTAATCATCCATCCACCGATATTTTGATCTCCCTTTCTTTCGTCGACCTGTTACTATTCATTTATTCAATACTTTTCTTTGTGAGTCCCCTGCTATGCATTCTTAGCGTGTGACTTATCCATTTTATTCGCTGGATTTTAATGTATCGTATTATATCCGCACCATTTATTAGATTTTCTCTTTCACGATTGTGTCTTATTCTCCATATGCCTGGAGTAACTGGGTGTGGATTGTATATTTTACGAAATATTTGTCTCTCAAAAATGATAAGCTAGATAATATGTTTTCCATTTAGAGTCCAGGCTTCTCCGGCTTGCGTTACAATTGTACGCATAAATTCTCTTTATGTGTCTTTTTATTAGCTTTGATCTGAACAGTTTTAAATTAGCATAATATGCATTCTAACATTTTATAATTATTTTATTATACCATGCAGTTATTGTTAGCATAATACGCATTCTGACTTTTTCTAATTATTTTATTATACCATGGAGTTATTGCACATAATCTTAAATAATATGTTTATTTTACATAGATTTGGAGATGCTGCACGTGTCTGATCAACCGAGCTGCAAAGGAAGGGTTCTGGGGAAAAACGATCCTCCAAAAATATAATAGAATGTCTGAAATGTCGTCAGTTATAGAATGGTTATGAGCGGGCAAAAATCAAAATAGTAGAATTTCTATTCAAAGGGTTAGCCGAAAATATTTTTAGAAAATTGTTTTAGACCAACTCACATTGCATTTATGAAAATAAAGGGATTGTATGTCAGCTTTAAGAGCAGTGGTTGATACTGTTGTTAAATTGGTAAAAAAATCATCAAAAAATGAGAATATTTGATAAAAGATAAAAGTAAATGTAAACGATATTTTTTAAATTTATATCCTGTAGCACCATTATTCACCGACGCACCCCATCCCTTTTAGCCGCGTGTCGGTGATGGAGTTGGATAATTGAAAGTTAGAGGCGATGCATTTTCTCAATATTTCTAAAAATTACACATGGAAATTCAAGATTTGATAAAACAATTGGTTTCCCATTGAAGATTTTGAAATAATTTCCACTCCTGTAAGTAAGGATGGAGAGTTTATATCCCCATTTTTTAATGACTTTTTTAACCAATTTTATTGGATGTCGATTACAGCACCAACTGTCAACTCAAAAGACTTAGGTCAAATTGTGGTAATTTGTTGTGGGGAATCCAAATCTGCAATAAAAAATTGGGATTCCTACTTA